GTGAGTCATGCATGACAACCTGGGGTAGGAAGAGGGAGGGTGAGCCACCCATGATAACCTGGGGCAGGGAGGGTGAGCCACCCAAGATAACCTGGGATAGGGAGGGTGAGCCACCCAGGATAACCTGGGATTGGGAGGGTGAACCACCCAAGATAACCTGGGATAGGGAGGGTGAGCCACCCTAGGTAACATGGAGTAGGGTGAGCCACCCAAGATAACCTGGGATAGGGAGGGTGAGCCACCCAAGATAACCTGGAGTAGGGAGGGTGAGCCACCAAAGATAACCTGGGATAGGGAGGGTGAGCCACCCTAGGTAATAATTGTTGGTTGATGATGGTTGTAGCCTATCAACCACGAGACAAGAATTTAATTCTTACAACAGCATTAAAGCAAACTCTCGGCATATATACGCTGTGAAGTGCAGGTGGCAGCAACCTCTGGCCATCCTGTCCACCAGTGTTATCATGAGGAAAATACAAGAAGAAAAACACCTAACACTAATCTTATGGCAGAGGAAGCAAATAGAATGATATGAAATTAAGACACATGTGCAGCATCTGTTTATCTTCATTGTAGACGTTTCGCCATCCAGTGGCTTTATCAATACAAATTCTAGGACATAACTTGACAGTAGAACTATGTACAGAAGATGAGGTAATCAGTCCCTCAACCTTGGAGTAGGTGCGAAGAGCACCGTAGTCGTGGAGATTCTGAAGCAGAAGCAAGGCGTGTTAGATAGGAGTGAATGGAGACGAATGGTATTCGGGACCTGACGAGCTGTTGGAGTGTGAGCAGGGTAATATTTAGTGAAGGAATTCAAGGAAACCGGTTATTTTTATATAGCCAGACTTGAGTCCTGGAAATGGGAAGTACAATGCCTGCACTTTAAAGGAGGGGTTTGGGATATTGGCAGTTTGGAGGGATATGTTGTGTATCTTTATACGTATATGCTTCTAAACTGTTGTATTCTGAGCACCTCTGCAAAAGCAGTGATAATAATGTGAGTGTGGTGAAAGTGTTGAATGATGATGAAAGTATTTTCTTTTTGGGGATTTTCTTTCTTGTTTAGGTCACCCTGCCTCGGTGGGAGACGGCCGACTTGTTGAATATATATATATATATATATATATATATATATTATAATATAATATATATATATATATATATATATATATATATATATATATATATATATATATGTCGTGCCGAATATGTAAAACTGGTCAATTAGCAAGAACTCATTTAAAATTAAATCCTTTCTGAGATTTTCTCTTATATGTTTAAAGATATATTTTTTTCATTAAAGTTAACATAAAATTTTTTAATTTTGCACCAAAAAATCTTAGAAAACTTACCTAACCTTATTATAACAAGAGCAATTTATTTTAGCCTAACCCAACTGAATAATTTTAAATACGTTTACAATAATTTAGTGCTAAACAAACACAATCAAATATATTTTTTTCGTTAGGTTCAGAATAATTTTGGCGAAAATTATTGCATACACAAATTTTCACTTGTCCTATATGGCAAGATGAACGTTGTTTATTTAAGCCAAGATCGCAAGTTCTGCCTATTCGGCACGACATATATTATATATATATATATATATATATATATATATATATATATATATATATATATATATATATATATATATATATTATATATATATATTATATATATATATATATATATATTTTATATATATATACAGTATAATAGCAAACAGGCGATCTTAACAATGCATAAGAAGCCACATGGGGATGGAAATCTTTAGCTCTAGATCTTTCGCATTCTTGTGCGTCTTCAGGAGCTATGGAATACTACAAGACAGCAAGAGACAGGAGGGTAAAAGTCTCTGAGGCAAGGTAGAAGGTATTAGTGGTAATCCAGGTCACAGTCACAAACTTTCTAACATGGTTCAGGACCTGGCTCAGGATCTGGCCCAGGATCTGGCTCAGGACCTGGCCCAGAATCTGGCCCAAGACCTGGCCCAGGACCTAGCCCAGGAATTGGCCCAGAACCTGGCCTAGGTCTTGGCCCAGGTCCTGGACCAGGACCTGGCTCGGGACCTTGCTGAGAACCCGGCACAGGAATGCTGACAATTCTTAGTTAAAACTCCCTGAAGGTGCTTCTGATGTACGTAATCTTACTGTTACAACGCGTGAACATATACCCAGATACATAACAATTATGTACAGAGAAGTAAGAGAATATTTAAACACACAGTCATGACCTCCTGTTACTGAATTCACAAAAACGAACTGAATTTGAGGTGTACTCTTCTTGGCTAACATATCAATTTTATCATGAAGGAGTAATCCAATGTGTGATGGGATCCATACCAATCGTACATTAATTTCTTTGTCCTGGATTTTTGAGTATCTATACCTGGCTTCTCCAATGAGCATGTTGTTGGAGTCATTATGTGAGTCAAGAGCCTTCAGTGATGACATAGAATCAGTAATGATGATAGAGTCAAGCTCAGTGTCATAGGTTAGCTTTAGCACCATTAGGATTGCAAACAATTCAGTTTGCAGTGTAGACGCCCAGTTGTTAATTCTTATGCCTAACTCAACAAATTTATTGTCGTTCTTAACTAGGGAGGTGGCAACAAGAGCAGATGCAGCCCTGCCAGAAGACTCCTGTTTAGATCCATCAGTGTATATAACTTGTGATAACTTATTACTACCAGCTTAACCATCGTAATGTAAATTATTAAAAGAAATTCTGATGTAGGTAGGACTGCGGTATTTTCTAAAACATTGTCAGTGAATTACTTAAGAATTTTTTCAAGCAAATACTTAGTTTCGAAATCAAAACACTGGGAACAACAGCTATTAATAAGAGTTTTTATATACAGTGGACCCTCGAATTTCATAATCCCTTTTCTGTGTGTCAAACTATAGTTATCCACTATAAAATGTGTTTTTTGTTTATATTTCCCATATGAAATAATTTTTCCTTAGATTGAATATGTACGATGGGGAGCAAAAAAAGATATCCGTGAGGGCGGGGAATGTGGCTAGGCCTGGGAACAGTTGGTCCCGAAGATGAGGGGGCACTTGTACCTCTTCCCATGGGAGACTTAGGTCTCAGACACTCCTAGACAGGGAGCCAAGGCCGGGCCACCACTTGGCCAAGGCCCGGGCCGGGAGAATACCCGCGAATCAAGAAGAAGAAAAAAATTATTTTCTCTTATCTACAGTGTATATAATGTTTATTTTGGAGGAGGTTGGCGTTAAATGGCGCTTAAATTAGTCTGGATGAGTAACATCCTGGAAGAGAAGAAAGCTGTTATCTACAAACATCTTAGTGATAAATTAGACGTAAGTGCAACACTTGGGTATCTATATTCCGAAACGTTTCGCCTACACAGCAGGCTTCTTCAGTCTAGTACAGAGGAGGCAAAAACAGTAGAGATGTAAAGAATCAGTCTACTTAACTGTGGCACCTGTGTCTTATTTATCAACCTGTCGATGTAAATAGGTACATATAATGTTTGTCAGGAAACATAACAAGTGTTTCCTGACGCTGGTCTTAGTGATATGAGAACCCACAGCTGGACCTTTTGTCATCTGATCGAGACCTACTGGAGCAGTCATCCAAGAAGATCCTCTCACGGTAAGATAAAATACATTAGTCACCGCTGCTTCTCGTGTCACGTCTCTCACTCTCTTGTCAACAAACTTTTCAAAAATTAAGAAATATTAATTTGTTGCTAACTTAATTACCTTCATTTTCTCGTTTAACCTTCAACTAAATATATATCCGCATATATCCGTATATATCTATTTTTTCACTGGAAGATTGGTGGATAATTACTCTAAAAAGAACAGAAAATGGTTTTTGCTTATATCAAAATAATATTTTTTTTTCTTTATCAATAATTTTTAATAAGTTTAATATTTGTCTGTATCTTCATTGTTGAAACGTTTCGCCTACGCAGTAGGCTTCTTCAGTCAAATACAGAGGAGACAGCGGAGGTAGAGATGAGAAGACGATGTAATCAGTCTGAGGTGGTCAGTCCCGGATGATAGTTGCACAAAAGTCTTAAATCATCAACTTGTCGGTATTTTATACTTGTGGAATTTTTTTTTTACATAATTTCCTAAATGTAGAACATATAACTTAATAATATAATATTTGAGTAATAAAATACTATGATGATTTGACTCTTTCAAGAAATTTGGAGGGGGGGGGTGAGGGGCGCCGGGGGAGACGCCATTTTGGATGTGTGAACAGTAGTTGTAGTGGGAAATTCTGTTAATAATCGGGTGTTGTAGGTGGCTTAATGAGGTGTTTCTGCCTGATTTTGTAATAGGAACCCCCGTGTTAATATTCCTTGCTGAAGAATTGGGACAGGAAATTAGCGGGACTTCAAGAGTTGGGTGTGTAGGATGAGAAAATAGAGGACTTAATGAATCCTTCTCAACAACATACCTTAGTGACACTTACCCATCTTACAATAGTTTTTGCATTTCCAAGAGTTAGGTTAGGTTGTGTTCCATCAGCTTTGTCTTCCAGAAATTAATTGGTAAATGGTAATACAAAGTTCTTTGTACTAACAGGTATATTTTTGTTGTTCCCAGCAACCCTAGTTCTATACAGCGCCATAATTTTACCAGAGTAGCTGGTTTTAATATTATAATTATTAATTTAATGTTAGCCCTATCTTTTTGTGAAAGTAGTGAGGAAGTGGGCATCGAGGGAGTTACAGTTCAGTGACCTACTGAGACTGAAGCCCCACTGACCTCATCCAAATTACTTACAGGTAACAATTCAGGTGATGTCCTGTAAACCTTCTTCAGGTAATTAATATAATAATAATAATAATAATAATAATAATAATAATAATAATAATAATAAATATATTTTTCACAAAAATGCTATTTTCAACACACCTTCCTGTTCAGGTTAGATTTTTCACAATTCCCTTCTGAAATCAGTGTTGCTGACGTGTACTTCATGTAGACTGGGAAGTAGAAACAAGATGATCTAGTCAGTTATTTACTTGGCCTCAGACATATGTATATAGAAGGATATGTTGAGAGATCGCGAGTATTGTGACAGACGCCATCCGGCCGGATGTCTATCTGGCTTATTCAGAGAGTAGTCTATGGCGGATATGATATATTATTGTGTTTAGGTGACCTTTAAAACGTTTACGATAAAACTGACGTGGCAAGAGAGCGCTTCCCAACGAAGAGAGAGAGAGAGAGAGAGACGAGAGAGAGAGAGAGAGAGAGAGAGAGAGAGAGAGAGAGAGAGAGAGAGAGAGAGGGTGAGAGAGAGAGAGAGAGAGAGTGAGAGAGAGACAGAGAGAGAGAATTAAAGTTAGACAGTTATTATTATATTCTTGAAGAAATACTAAGTGAATTATATATATAATAATATTTGATGGTAGGAAGAACAGCGTCTCACAATTAACTTGTTTCAAAAAGTTCATAATTTTTACATAACAAAATATAAAAGACAAAATAAGTAATTACACATATATGCATTTTTATGTAAAAATTTAAATAATATATAAATAAATATAACTGTGAAAAATTACATTTATCTGGATGTAACTCATAATGTACATACCAGTAAATGGTAGCACACATAATTATTATTTATCAGAGTTACGTAGACAAGTAGGAATTTGGGACACCTAGGTCGCAAAAATGTCCCCCTTCGATACCTACAACTGTCATATCCACCTATTAATTACAAATGAAAGGTACATATACCAGGAATTCTGTTAAATATAAAAATTTGTGGACTGTATATTAAAATTAATAAGTGATTATATATACACACATTTGCATAACAGAAGGAGAATATATCTTAATATCACTCACCAATTTGACTGGAGATTAATTAAGGTGTATCATACTCAGAAAACCTCACTGTCTATCTATGAAAATAACACTGGCCAGAGTTACAACATAAGACCTATCTGAGGTTCCTGGAGCTGTCTTGTCCAGTCGTCTGATATCTCAAGTTATGCAGCAATGCACATCCAACAATCTCGGCTCCTGTTTGAGAGGTGTCAACCCAATTTAACCTCTAGAGCACGAAAATTCTTCCCATTATTCACTAACGTTTGTGTTGACCAGTTCAAACATGGCGAGTCTCTTCTGCGCCGGCGCAGAATTTTCCATTTTTTATAACATAAATTTTATTAAATACAATATATTACACTAATTTACATAAAAAATACACTGTATTTTTTCTGGAAAATACATTATTTTCCACAAGTAGTATTCGATTCGATTGTAAGGGATATATGCAGTGTTAACAAGCTCAGTGTAGAAGATAGATTTCAGACTCCATTTAGTCTTGTATTAATTCCATATGGAATATTTAGATGGGATGTTGATGTCTCAGTGTATATAATAAACAGGTGACATACTGCTTTAATGACTCGTATAGTCGGTAAGCTTCAAACCCAATTGACCTAAATAACTATTAATATTTGTTATAATTATTATTGTTTATTATTATTATTATTATTATTATTATTATTATTATTATTATTATTATTATTATTATTAAGAAAGTGGCCATCTCCCACCGAAGGGTTACTCCAAGACAGAAGAAACACCTTCATCATCACTCACTCTGTCCATTATTATTGCCAAATGGCCATACAATGATTTGGGGAATGGGTGGTAATAAGCTTTGATTCGAGGAAGCAGAAGGCAGCTCCAGTACCCTTGATCACGAACACTTCCTACACACAAAACAAAATATGTGACAATATTACTGAAAACTGGACAGTACGAGCGTAGCTCTGCTCCTGCGGTTACAAACAATTACAGATAATTGATTACATATAGTCGATTACAGATAGTTAACTACAGATAGATAATTAGAGATAGTTACCGTATTTTCCGGCATATAGGGCGCAACGTGTAAGACGTTGTTTACTAACGTAACGTTAGTAAACAACTGGTAAAGAGTAACACAAAACCTACCCTTGACACTGACCTTGAGCATATAATGCGCAGGATGATTTATAGGGAGAAAAAAGTGCGTCTTATATGCCGAAAAAATACGGTAATAATACAAACAGGAAGATTATGAACCATTTTTCTTGTAAACAAGCAACTCTGGCCACCCAAACCAGGAGTCAATTTTTCTTTCACCCAGGAATTTGTATCCTTTAGATACCATGAATTTGCGTAGAGTTTTCTTGCCCTCTGGGATGTGGTTATTTTCAATACACATCACCCGGAACTTGATCCTCTCCCAGGGTATTGTCTTCAGTACCTGGAAGAGGGAACACGATGGTCAGAATCAAAATAGACGGGAGTACATGGGACCATATGTAACAAAACACAAATATTAATCCTGTTCCGAGGTGCCGTCTTCGGAATCTAAGAGGAGAACATGAGAATAATTGTAACTATATCCTCTCCCACTACTGTTCATGCCCTGTATCCGGTTCCATCCTCCAAAATCCATGAAAAAACTAACAAACTGTTTATTATATTGTTTTCGGGGCGGTTTAGAGAGCTGTATTGGGGTCGACATAGTTTCAGTGGAACGTTTCCCAACGAACAAAAGAAACAAAGGGAAAAAATAAATAAAAAATATTTAGGAAAAAAAAGAAAATGATTTTAGAATTTTACTTAAAATTTAAAAAAAATAAAAAAAAATTGGCCTTCAGTTTTTTGTAGTTGGGTAGGGTGGGTTTGGGCCCCTGTTTTTCCTCGTGTTATTTATGTGGGTTTCCCTGGGCAGTGGTAATCCGAGTTTTGGGAATCCCTACCACTTGGATGGAGCACAAGTAAAATAGGAAAAGGGGGGTATTTTGTAGAATAATGTTAATAAATTATTAAACACTCTTGCCCCTTTATCGGGCGTCTATCCGGGAAAGACCACGCAGGAACAAGCTGACAAAAAGAGAAAAAAAAAAAGGGTTTCCCATAGTCATGATAATAAAACTTTTAAGAAAGAAAAAAAATGACAAACCCAAAATATTACTGGTAACCAGAAAACACTAGAAAAGAACAAACGTAATACCCCCTGGTAGAACCCTACCTATTAGGAGAAGAGTGGAGGCGAAGTGACTCCCCCAAACTTCAACCACACGGAAGGGTCAATATTCCCAGGATAGAAATTTTAACAAATCGGACACCGGAACTTTTTTGCCCCAGCCCGCCAAGAGGGGGGGTGTGTGCGCGCGCAACGTAACTCGTAAGGGTTTCCGGGTTCCCCCGAAAAACCTTTAAAACCCCACTTACCCTACTTTTCCCCCAATATATGGCAGACAGAGAAAGGGGTTTTGTAATGTTTATCTCGGGTTTGATCCACTTAGCCTTCAGTCTCGTTAAGAAAAAATCCTTTCTGTGCAGGAAGGGGCCAATTGGTCCCTTCAAAATTTGATTTTAGGGTCTAAATCTGAAATTTCAAAAACGCCCCAATAAATATATTTTAAAAAAATTTTTTGTTTTAAAATCGCGATCGTTTTTTTTTTTCTCGTGATTTTGATGTTTGCCTGATTTTGGGTTTTAAATATTAAAACTTTTGGGCCCAATCTCACGTGACGTGACTGCTTTTAAATACTTTAAATACTTCAGCAGCGGGCATTACAGGCGCGCCCGGGCCCCAACATAAACATCAAAAAAATAGACAACAAACTTTTTTCAAAATACCACCCAAAATTCGGGGTGTGTACGTTTGTCACCCTTCAGGGCCTCATTGGAGTCTCCATTTTTTAAAAAAAATCTTTTGCAGCGCTTTCAAAATCAGGCGGGAAAGGGGCGGCCTACAAATAACCCGCTGGGTTAAAACCTTTTGCAAAAAGTTGTATTAAAATTGCTTTGGCCAAAACGTTCAACCAAGAGAGCCGACCCCACAGTTGTGAATGCCCCTCACTGTAAAAATTTCATCTTAACAGTTCCTTTAGCAGGGGGTCGTTTAAACAGTGGCTCGTCTTGCTGCCCCCTTTAAACTGATTACAGGTATATGCAGCATGGTTTGAACGGTTAAACTGTACAAGTTAAAGTAAAAACATAACCATCAAAAGTGGTTCCCCCTGAGGGAGACCCCAGTCCCCCGATTTTGAGTCCACCATGAGGGGATCACAATTTACCCTGGAAGAGGAACCAAATGACACCATACACTTGCACATTTTCGGGCTTATATCTGCATCCGAGAATTTTGGACAGAAGTGGGTGCTGTTGGTATGGGGAAAATCTCACCATCAAGATGGGGGCGTAACCATCATTCCACTTTGTTCAGTGAATCGAAACTCTTAGACCCCAGGGCAGTCATGCAAGAGTATGTGGAAACATCAAGGGCTTTCCCAAAACAGGGTTCCAATTCATCAACATGCTAGAGACGCAAGGATGCCACTGGAATGTTTCATATTTCCACTCTGAAAGTTTTAGTATTGCCCCTGTGAATGTTTTGTATTACCATGTGAATTTTCAGATTGCCACTGTGAATTTTTCAGTCTGCCACTGGAATGTTTTAGTATTGCCACGTGAATGTTTTAGATGACCGTGAATGTTTCAGTATTGCCACTGTGAATTTTTAAACTGTCACTGTGAATGTTTCAGTTTCCACTGGAATGTTTCAGACTGCCATTGTTAATGTTTTAGTACAGCCCAAAGTAATGTTTCAGCATTGTCACTGTGAATGTTTTAGTATTGACACTGTGATTTTTTTTAGTGTTGCCCGTGAATGTTTCAGTACTGCCATGTGAATGTTTCAGTATTGCCACTGTGAAATTTTCAGTACGCCCCGTGAATGTTTCAGCATGCCACGTGAATGTTTGCACTGCCACTGTTAATCTTCATTTCTGCCATGAATGTTCAGTACTGCCCCAGTGAATTTTTGTATTGCCACTGTGAATTTCCAGTATTGCCACTGTGAATGTTTCAAAACTGCCACTGAATGTTCGCATGCCACTGTGAATCTTCAGCACGCCACGTTTAAACTTCCTACTGCCATGTGAATGTTTTTAGCACGCCACGTTAAAGCTTCAGTATTGCCCCCGTGAATTTCCATATTTCCACTGTGAATGTTTCAAAAAAGCCACTGTAATGTTCGTATTGCCACTGCGAAAGTTTCAGACCCACTGTGAAAGTTTCAATTTTAATGTGAATGTTTCAGTACTGCCCCTGTGAATGTTTAGACGCCCCCTGTGAATGTTTAAGTACTCCACTGTGAATGTTTTTGTATTGCCCTGAAAGTTTTCGATTGCCCCCTGGAATGTTTTAGTCAGCCATGTGAATGTTTTTTGAATTACCCCAGTGAAATGTTTTTTAGTATTGCCACCGAATGTTTCGTTCTGCCAAAGTAAGTGAAGTTTTTTTAGTACTGCCCTGTGAAAGTTTCGTACTGCCACGTGAATGTTTCAGTACTGCCACTGTGAAAAGTTTGTATTGCCACTGTGAATTTTTCAGTATCCCACTTGAATGTTTCATGTTGCCCTGGAATTTTCAGTACTCCCGTGAATTTTTCAGTATTTCCATTGTGAATGTTTTAGAATTTCCACTGTGAATGTTTTAGTTTTTGTACTGTGAATGTTTTTTAGTATTTCCACCAGAAAGTTTTAGTACTGCCACTGTGAATTTTTTTAGTATTCCCCTTAAATGTTTTAGTGCTCCATGTGAATTTTAAGTACTGCCACTGTGAATGTTTCAGTCTGCCACGTGAATGTTTCAGTATTTCCATGTTAATGTTTCAGTATGCCACTGTGAATTTTTAGTATTGCCACTGTAAAATTTTCAGTTTTCCACTGTAAATGTTTTTTTTAGTTTGGCACTGTGAATGTTTCAGTATTGCCCCTGTGAAGTTTTTGAAATTGCCACTGCGAAGTTTTAGTATTGCAACGTTAATGATTTAGTATTGCCATTGAATTTTAGTAGTGCATGTGAATGCTTCAGAATTTTCCCTGTAAATGTTTCATATTCCATGTGAATTTTCAGTACTGCCACGTGAATGTTTTTGTATTCCACTGTGAATGTTTTAGTATTACCACTGTGGATCTTTTAGTACTGCCATTGTGAATGTTTTTAATTGTTCTTTTGAAGTTTCATATTTCCACGTGAATGTTTTCAGTTTACAAATGTGAATGTTTCAGTATTGCCACTGTGAAAGTTTCAAAAACTGTCACTTGAATGTTTCAGTTTACCACGTGAATTTTTTGTACTGCCATTGTTAATGTTCAGTACAGCCATGTGAATGTTTAGAATGTCACTGTAATGTTTTAGTATTACATGGGGGAAGTTTTTTGGGTTTTCCACTGTGAAGTTTCAGTACTGCCACTGTGAATGTTTCAGTATTGCCACTGTGAAGTTTTTTACGCCACGTGAAAAGTTTAGCACTGCCACGTGAAGTTTTAGCACTGCCACTGTTAAAGCTTTAGTACTGCCCCTGGAAAGTTTAGTACTGCCAAGTGAAAGCTTAAAATATTCCACTGTGAATTTCCAGTATTGCCACTGTGAATGTTTCAAAAATGCCCGTAATTTTCACACTGCCACTGTGAATCTTTCAGCACTGCCCCGTTAATGCTTTGTACTGCCACTGTGAATGTTTCAGCACTGCCACGTTTAATGTCAGTATTGCCAGGGGAATTTCCTATTGCCACTGTATTTTTCAAAACTGCCACTGTGAAGCTTCATATTGCCCCGCGAATGTTTCATATGCCACTGTGAATGTTTCAGCATTACCACTGTGAAAGTTTCAGTACTGCCAGTGAAATGTTTCAGTACTGCCTGTGAAGTTTAAGTATGCCACTGTGAATGTTTCAGTATTGCCACTGTAAATGTTTCAGTATTGCCCCTGTAATGTTTTAGTACAGCCATGTGAATGTTTTAGAATTACCACAGTGAATGTTTCAGTATTTCCCCGCGAAAGTTTCAGTTCTGCCCCAATGAATGTGAATTTTTCAGTACTGGGCCCCGTGAATGTTTTAGTATGCCCCCCTGTAAAGTTTCAGTACGCCACTGTGAATGTTTTTAGTATTTCCATGTGAATGTTTCAGTATCCCCCTGTGAATGTTTTTAGGTTGCCATGTGAATGTTTTGTTTGCCACTGTGAATTTTTTCAGTACTGCCCCTGTGAATGTTTCGCACTGCCACTGTGAAGTTTCAGCACTGCCCGTTTAAAGCTCTACTGCCCTGGAATTTTCAGTCTGCCACAGTGAAAGCTTTAGTATTCCACTGGAAATGTTCCGTATTGCCACGTGAATGTTTCAAAACTGCCACTGGAAGTTTCAGCACTGCCACTGTGAATCTTTCACACTGCCCCTGTTA